GAGCATAGTCTTTTACCGTTTACGCTTTTTATATTTTGATGTTATTTAGGATTGAGAAGCCTAATTCACATAAATAAGATCCTCCCATTGTTTGTGCAACTTATTTAGCGTGAAACATGTGCCTGGTGTTTTTTTTTTCGCGAATTCTTCATTGTTTGGTCGAATGTGCGATAAGCAGACACTCATTTATTCTTCAGTTGAGCGTAATCTTTCTCGCTTCTTAATTTTAATGGTCCTCTGCGGGTGGTGGTCGTCGGACACAGCGGTGGTAAGCAGTCAAATTGAACGCTCTAAGTCTTAATTTTGATGTTATTTAGGATTGAGCAGCCTAATTCACATAAATAAGGAGTAAAAAATTGCAATAAAACTGATAAGGCTTTTTAGCTAGTGTGGCGTATTCCTTTTGCATTGAAATTCAAACTGTTTCAATGGGTACCGTCGACTGTTTTATGTTGAACCCTCGATCACTAGAAATGGTGGCCAATTCTTCTTCTTTGCATAACTGAAGTTCATTATTTGAATGAATATAGTGAAAAGAATTATTTGAAAAAAAAAGTTTAATACTTATTCATTTATTCAAATACTAACGCTGTACCATTGATACTTACACACACACACACACACACACACACACATATATATATATATATATATATATATATATATATATATATATATATATATATATGCCTTGACAATATTTCGCGGCTCACTTAAGACAATTGCGTGGCGGTTGAGAATCATGGCTCTGGAGAAATAATATTTTCTTTGAGATAGTGTTTCCCCTTTATTGAAAAAAATATTCTTCATCGTATAAAGCGAAGAATATTAATAATATATTATTAAATTCTGCATTGAAGATCTGGTTATTACTCATGTATTTTATTTATTTATTTTAGAAATGGCCATTGTACTGCAATAGGAACTCTACACAGGTAAAGTGAACACTTCGCATTTACAAAAACCGAAAATTGAGTCATTTATAATTTCATTATTTCCCTTTGTTTTATTGTTACCTCCCCTTTGTAAGGAGAGATTCATTACGCTTTTGTTGTTTACTTTTTCAGTTAATAGTGTGTCTGGTTTATCCCACTTGGCTTTTCCAAAACGCCTGTCAGGGGGCGCTCTTTAAGCCTATAAAAAGACAATCATATTCTCTCTCTTCCTCTTTTTAACTCTTGCTTCTAGATGTAGTCAAACGTAGAAAAGGAACGCTGCCGCTGAGGCGCGTTCGCTTCTTTGATCATCTGTTGACTTTTGAACTCTGTCACACAATCATATACACTCACGTGTCTATCACACCCGCATGTCTGACACAAACACAAACAAACACATTCTTCTAAAACCTAGTTTTAATGTTTTTTTTTCTTTCTCTTCATTACAATTGTGTACACATTTAATTCTTTTTATTAATAACATGCATTGTTATTTGTTTTATATTCATTGTTTTGTGTACTTATTTTTACCTGGACTCACATGAGTCCGCCAATATTGTTTGCGGGATAAATGTTTCAGGAACCCATAAATATTTACTGTAAAATAACTATACATATTACAAAGAAACAGGTGATAACCGCAACAAAATGGTGACTTATTTCTACCCAAATATACAAATATTCCGCAACAGTGTCTTCTGTAATTTATCGTGACGTACTTGCTTTGGTATTTTTTTTTTTTATGTCAACTGCCTTATATATATATATATATATATATATATATATATATATATATATATATATATATAATAAATAAACCTAATATACACACTCGATCCATATTTGATCAAATAAAGATCAAATATGGATCGGAATCCATAGAGAGAATGATATGATAAAGATCAAATAGAAAACTATCAAGCTAACATGTTTCACTTTTATTAAATCTTTATATCAGAGAATGAGATATGGAGAAAAAGAAGAAAGAAATTCTGGTATTTTTACTTTTGTGTTTGATTTTCATTGGTTAATCATGTTTTATGTGCATTCGACTTCTTAAACCAACGTTAGTATAATTTATGGCGTTCCGAATTCAAGGAGAGACGATATGTCTCTTCGAAGTTCCAGGAAATTAACGGATTCCAAGGCTAACTGAAAAACTTTATATTTTCATATCATAAAATTTATTTATTTTTTATGTGCACTGGTGTGTGTATTTTTGGTTACAAATGTTTCATGGTTGCATGTGATAAAAGGGAGAAGTCACTCCGTATAATTACTCACCATGTCAGAGAGAAAGAGAGAGAGAGAGAGAGAGAGAGAGAGAGAGAGAGAGAGAGAAGTTGGACACGTGTTGACTGTCCCAAGGTTGTTGGCAAAGAGGTTGAATTCAGCATCTTTTGGCAGGATGTCCGTATTTTTGTTGCATGCTGGGAAAATTTTTACTATTTTTATTTTTCATTTAATCTATTTTATAGAAAGTTTTTATGTTACTGTTTTATTTTAATTATAATTTTCATTACTATTATTATTGCATTTTTTTAATTTTTATTTATTTATAATAATAATAATAATAATAATAATAATAATAATGTCCCTACGAACTCTCTTCCGGATCCATGCTTTCCAGCCAACTTTAATCTGCAAAAAATTTAAATACAATGTCAATCGCTATCTACTGTTCTTCTGATTACTCTTTTTGTTCTCGCTCAGCATCAATGTTTCTGTTTGTAATTCTTCCATATCCAGTAACACCTTGTGTCTTAGTGGCTTTGCTACCTTGCTTGGGGTGAATTCGATTAAAAATAAAATTCAAATAAATTCTGATTATTTCACTTCTCAATGTCAATACTTAATAGTCATAAATACCGTCAACTAAATCCGACTGATAATAACGAGTTTTCCCGCTACTTGTCGGAACGAGACGCGTCTGGTCTGTCACGGTGCAGAATTCGATCTCATTTCCTTACTTGTTCCGATTTGTTCAATACCTGTATGTCACCGAATTAGAAAGTACCAGACTTTGAATGTTAAACTAAGATAACATTTTTTTTTCCGTGGTTTATATAATTTCATTTAGTTTCACGAAATGTGCTTCTCAGCTGTAGTAACTAGTTGCTGAGGATCTTAAGAATGCTTTTAGTTTGATACAAAAATTCGGTAGGAATTTAAAAAAAAAAGTTTTATCGATATATATTCATAGCACCATTATTCAACCGCTAAAATATTTTCCCTGGCTTTCTATTAAGTTGAGTCATAAATAATACCCGTTTTTTGTTTCGCAACTTTATTCTTCAAAAAAATATTGTTCGATTAAATTTTATCCAGTCATATATTCACCATTATTTGCAATGTCTTTTTTCCCACTTATCAGGCAGCTCTTCGATAGCTTTTGAATAAAATTCCTCCGGTTGTGATGTGAAAATCCATTTGACGAACTCTTTGAAATTAGTTTTCTTTTCAAATCTCTATCAAAGAATTTTACAGCGATTAGCAAAGATAATGACCAGTTGGTATAAGGTCAGGTGGATATGGCGCGTCGGGATAGAACAGACCAAACGAGTTCCAAATTATTTTTCTTGTATTATTCTTGCTGTATGCGGCCTTGCGTTGTTATGGAGAAAGACAACATTTTTGATACGGCAGGGTGTTTGTTTTTTTTACCAAACTTTTCTGAACACGCTGCAGATGCTGGACGTGTGAATGTGCATTTATCGTTTCACTGCATATTAAAAACTCTAAATGAATGATGCTACCATGCGCGCAACCTTACTTTTTTCCCATGGAGCTCATCTTTTGGGATCGGTTGTGGAGATTTATTCTTGTCAATACACTGCCTTTTGCGTTGAACATAGTCTTATATGAGTATGCTCCAAATTTATTCTTACCTGCCACGTATAATTAGCAGTAAGGGTGACACATTCATCATTACAATTGCTTCTCGAAAAACGGAAATGATTGATGACTCAACCTAATAGTTTTAGAAGCTGATGTATATATTTATCATTGTCTGCAACTGCTCGCATCCCAGCATCGGTGTCGTCACCCTCTCTCTCTATTCCCTTTCTCCCCACTGGTGGCGGTGGCGAAGATGGCTGTGAATCAAAGAGAACTCGATGAGGCCATTCGCATGATGGGCGTTTTCATGCAACTGAATCACCAGTCCCCCTCCTGACCTAGAAAAGGTGATTTTCTTTTCTGATACGTCTTTCAAACGAGCCAATTGCTTGCTGTAGTTTCGCACAGTAATACTTTGATCAGTTTCCATTATTTTGTAATAAAGAATTCTCTTAGTATCTCATTTTGAAAAAAAAAAAAAACAACTAAACTTTTGATACGTAAATCGTTGCCACTTAGCATGTTCCTCAATGAGTTCTCTGTTTTTGGTTTGAACAAATATCTATACTATAATCAAAGATAAAACACACTATATTGGCGTAAGCATCTTTGGTTAACCATGAAGATATTGAAATGAAGGTCAGTGCAGATACATTTAGTGAGCGTTCATTCATAGGTTATCACAGTGGGGATGAAGTTAGTGCGCGTTCACTCGTAGGTCGGCACAGTGCGTATAAAGTTAGTCAGCGTTTACTTACAGATCAAAACAGTGCAGATAAAATTAGCGTTCACTCGTAGGTTAGCAGACTACGGATACATTTAGTGAGCTTTCCCTCGTAAGGTTAGCGTATTACGGATAAAGTTAGTGAGCGTTCACTCGTAAGTCCGTACATTGGGGATAAAGTTAGTGAGCTTTTACTTATAGGTCAGGACAGTACGGTATGTATTGTGGGTTAACGAAAAGCAGGATTAAATGCATTGCAGCAGGCGGCTAACAAATCATTTGTGACTGCCAAGAAAAGAATCCCAGTGGTGACAAAAGATATTCAAAACTTTTAATACAGTCATATAATAAGGAAGCGAGTAAATTCGCTCTAAAGTAAATGATTGATTTACAATGTACCTATAGTATAAAATTGTACCCTTAGTTTGTGTCCGTCTTTACAAAAGTCGAGGCTAAATTAATTATCAATGCTCTGATTCTATTTTTAATTGTAAATTGGAGGCTGACGCCCACATCAGGTTGAAACACCGTTTCCCGTACAATTACCGAAGTTAAGCAACGTCGAGCCTGGTCAGTATCTAGACGGATGACCGCTTAGAAATACCAAGTACTGCAAGGTTGGATGTGCGGGTGGTGTACTGGATAACGGCTCGAATCAAAAGCAGAGTTCCAATTCCTATTGTTTTTGTTATACTTACTGAGTCCTCTTTTTTGGTTCGGCCAAATATCTCTACCCAGGATGTGTGAAAAATTTAAAGTTGCAATACGTCATGTTAGCATAAGCATCTTTTGTTAGAGTTTAACCATCAAGATATTGAAAGCAATCTCTTGACAGAAAAATCGTGAAAACCCCAAGCGTTGAAAGAGAGCGTCAGTTGCCTATAAGCCCCTAAAACACTTCCTTATAAATTTGTGTCGATTTGACACACGAGCAGAAAGATGACGTACGTAAAATAACATAGTGAAGGGTCCCTCTATCGAGCAGTAAATGCGGCTGTCAGGAAAGAGTAAAGCAGCCTAATTGTGAACGAAGCCGTGGCACGTGGCCCATCGACATCGTCGCAATCGACGACGTGAGATGGAGGCCCTGATTCGCTGCCGAACACAATAAACTTCATTGTTAGACAGCAGCTGTCGGTTGTTAAATGCCTCGCCTCCTTTGGGTTTAATGTCTGGACCAGTGCCAGGAAACAATTTTGATTGCCTGCCTGTCATCAGTTTAGCAGTTGTTCGGAAAACGCTGCTATCATAAACGGGGGCTATAAATCACCATAAACGTATTTTTTAGCCGGGGTAGACCGGATTCTAATTCTTTCCCATAAGATGAAGAATCAAGATTACGGTTTCAGAAACATTTTTAATCTACTAATCTGTCATTGTCTGCATGTTGTACATACGTATTACTAAGCTAATCTGAGTCTGGCACAAGGCCCTTAGGATGGAATAGTTCCTCCTCAAGTAGCGGTGGAGGACAAATCCAAGAATTATTCATGAACTGCTTTTTATTTTTTGGTTTTAAGGTTGCAACAATGTTTCGACCGACCATATATACGGCTTTCATTAGGTGCATTAGAATGAAGAAAATTGTACAATGAGTCGACCGAAACGTAGTAAGAAAAGAAAGCATTGAGTTAAATATAAGGCAAGGGGTTTCTAAAATGTTCGCCCTTTCAATGGTGTCACAGTTAACTCTCAATTGTGACGAAAGATATTCGAAACTTTTAATACAGTCATATACCGACAAGTAGGGAGGCGAGTGAATTCACTCTAAAGTAAGTGATTGATTTACAATGTACCTATATAAAACTGTACCTTACTTTGTGTCCGTATCTACAAAAATCGATGCGAAATTTAGAATGAACGCATCTGCTAAACTGGACATTATTAATCAATCATTTACTTTCGAGCAAGTTCAATTGCTTTCAGGAAAAGGTTAGTTTTTCTCAAAAACGAAACATTTACGAAAGTAACAAAAGCCCAACAGTTGTACGCTCCAGCCTTCTTCAGGTGGTTGGAATTTCGAACTGAACCCTTTATTTCGATCACTGGGGTAGTCTGTTCTAGTTCCACGTGCCATGTTTGATGGATGTCAGTTATCAGTTATCTCCTGCTAATTTTCCCTCTGAAAGTTCTTCACTGCCTTAACCGGGTATTGAACTCACACTCTTTGGGTCCTGTCACTGGATCTAACCAACGCCTTTATCCATGTGTCCTTGAGGACATCTGTGTATGAATTTCTGGGTATTATAAACCTAATGTTTTCAGCAACCATTTTTACCAGTGCTCATATTGCAATTTTGCTGTTATCATGTCATGTTTTTACCAGAGCTCATATTGCAACTTTGTTATCATTGCTTTTCTCTGGCACTCCTTATTACTAGTTCCCATATTGTATTTATTTCTATGCTTGGTCAATGAAGGCCGGATCGTACAACGGCCGAAACGTTGTAATAAATATGGCGACAAAGATGAGGACAATAGTCCGAATAATGTAAATACTGTACATAATACCTCATCTCAGAAATATAGACAGTCAAATATTTGTTTTATTATTTTATTATTTACGTTTGGTCCATCGAATCTTGACTGTTTTTAAAATAATTAATCTAACCACTGAATATATAAGAAGAGTAACGTGTAATAAGCACACACACACACACACACACATATATATATATATATATATATATATATATATAGAGAGAGAGAGAGAGAGAGAGAGAGAGAGAGTGAGAGAAAGAAAGAGAGAGGATGGGGAGAAAGAGTGATAGGGTGCGATGGATAAATTATTGTCTAAACTACGCAAAAATGAAAATAGCACTGATATTTCATTTTAACAGATTTAACAAAATTACACAAAAATATCTTGAAATACTAAAAAGTAAATTTATTCAATAAAATCGCCATTGGCTTCAACCAAGGCTTCCAGACGACTTCGGAATTTCCTGCAACTCGTGTACAGTCTCCTTGTTTAAGTTGGTGAATACTACCATAATTTTTGCCTTCAGTTCATCTTTGGTGATACAAGGAGTTTTGTTGGTCTCTCACTCAACTGCGCCCCACACATAATAATCAAGGGGGTTGCAGTCTGGGGAGTTAGATGGCCAGGTATAAGTGGTGATGTGATTGCACGCGGAACTCCAAGAGGAAAATAAAGTTTAAAGTAAATAAAGCATTTTGTTTATTTCGTTTCGACCTCACTTGTTCACTCACATTTTCTCATACATAACCATATACATAAACAATGATTAAGCACAACGTTTCTTGAATTTGTAACTTTTCGTTAAAGGTAACGTTTTCATCATTTAAAAGACTATGCGTGTAAATATCATATGCTTTAGAAACAGGATGTTCAAAATAATTTGTTTGTCTGGAGAAGAAATATATTTTCTGGCGAAAAAAATTTTTTTTTCTAGAGAAGAAATATATTTTTTAATTTAAAAATTATTTTTTGAATTTTTAAATGAATAAATAAGAAACAAATCGTATGAAACAGTGTGTTAATGTTATGGAGTGGTTTCACAGTTGAGGCTTGTATTTGTATTAAGTCGGTCCTAAAATAGGTTCGACGTACAAAACGTTATAAACTTGATATAATAGGTAATGACGCAGAGAAATCTAGCTGTGGTCGCTGATACTTTAGTATCCGACTAACGGTTGTCCGGCATCGACTGACTGACCGAAGATATTCAGTCACCCCTCCACGAAGGCGTCATGTGGCACAAGGCCTTTTTAACGTGGGATCTCCGAGTCCGTGGGCTCGGCCAAAAATATGCCCATTGAACCCGTATAAACGGGTTCAGGGTCGGTTTACCTCCCCGAAAGAGAATCCACCCTTCGGCGTCGTCTCCTTCGGGTTCCTCCTCGCCCGAAGGCAGAGAGTTCAACCGATCAGCCAGTCGACTGACTGACCGAACCACTGAGCGACCCCTACTACTCCTACTTATTATAGGTGGGAGAGTCTATTAGCAATAGAATAGGTGTGTTCCACTATAATAGTTAACCACTGTCGTCTGTAATAAAATTATACCGGGATTTCCTTTTTTTTAATTATTGAGAAACCTTTCGCCATTTCTATGGTAGATGCTTACTCACATGATCTTCTGTGATCAATATGGCTGAGACAGCTTCAACGAAAAATTACCTTGAATCTTTTTAGTTGTACAGCCCGCCTTATGATGAACCATATCTAATGCGGCCCACTTGTCAGAAAATGTTGCCAACACCTGTTTTATACCAACTGGGCTTTTGACACTGTTGCCACATTCCGGGCACGAGTAATTGTCTTGGTCGGGCTAATGAATTCTGCGTTGTCGTGATCGCATGTGGTAAATTAACTTAGCATTTGAAAGACAAGTGCAATTACAAAGATTACATGGAAATAGAGCTTCGTCGTTTGCTGCAGCTATTGAGGTCAAATCATCCCTTTAACTTACTACTTGTTTCAATTTCCGCCTTACTGATTTTAACCCTTCAAAGTATTTGCTTCTTAGTCTTTGAATCCTAGTTTCCACATGATTTTAAAAAAAAATCATTTCACCGCAAGCAAGTCAATAAAGCCACTAAGACAGAAAGTGTTACTGAATGTGAGAGAATATGAGAAAAAGAAAAAAAAACATGATGAAGGAGAGAGGACAAGAAAAGAACAGGAATTAAAAAGTCAGAAGATAACGATTGACATTGTATTTACATTTTTGAAGATTAGAATTGATTTTGAAGCCAGATGCTGGAGAGAGATTTCCACGTGCAAGAAGTGCGAGAGAAGAAACTGTTAGCATGGAACCTACGGTTAGATCTAAGAATTTCAACTGTAAAATAATGAAGCCTACTGCCAATCTAGTACTACGATTAAATTCGTACAATCAAGGTACTCAGAAGGAAAGCTCATCAGAACAATTAGTCTTCTTAGCGAGATGATTTCGCCATTAATCACATTGACATTAATAGTTAATTCTTTATATAAATTGTTTCTTTATGATTTAAAATATAAGCTGCACACTCTAATATATATATATATATATATATATATATATATATATATATATATATATATATATATGTGTGTGTGTGTGTGTGTGTGTCTATGTGTGTTTGTGTGTGTGTGTCTATGTGTGCGTGTGTGTGTGAAAATATATAGAAAATAGGAAAGAATTCGTTAGGTAAATAATCCAAATTTTTTTTTACTATTTTTGTTATTATTTTTTAAAAACAGTGCTCGATACAAAAGTAGAGCCTAAATATAATTATTTATTTAAAATATGATTCCATCAGCTACATAAGAGTTCTCATGTTTAAAAAACAAGAGCCGAAAACTTCAATATAACTATTATATTAATATATATATATATATATATATATATATATATATATATATATATATATATATTAATGGGCAGCAACCTTCCTTTTTAAACATTTTTTTCGTTAAATATGACAGACAAGGAAAGTTTTTTAATTTTTAATTTATTTATTCTGGCGTTCTTACAAACTTTCTGTTTGGTAGGAGTGAGGGAGTACAAAAACTGTCCATACCGTTTATTGTCCCAAGGAAGTGACCGGAAGCGCTTGGGACAATCAAGGGGGTTGCAGTCTGGGGAGTTAGGTGCGAGATGTGAGC